CCTGTAATCCACCTGTGGCAGTGGATTGTGATCATTCCAGGGGTGAGCACCATCGTTCAGTACTCAGCTGTCTCATTATCATTGTCATATGTACATTACATTTTTGGGGAATAAGATGCAGATCATCTCAGCTATACAAGATGTATAATTTTTATTGTAGATTAGTATTTCCATAATTTATTCTGAAAAGTCATTTTACTTTTACTATAACAGCTTCAAGCTAATACAACTGGGAATTCATTTTTGAAAATCTATTGATTTTTAAAATACCTCTATCAATGGATTAATTGGGAAACATCTATTGTTTATTAAAATTCTGTATTTAGTATTCCAATCCAATAAGATCTTGGTTTGAAAATAAAACTATCTCTGCTAATAACATTGTATTTTCTGATGGGATTTGTGTTGCAAGTTAAACAGCTGCCTGAAATGCAATTGAATACAATTGTAGACAATGCACTAGTACAGATATAAGGAAACTAGTGTCAGATAAAAACCTTTTGAAAGTAAAGTCTTTTGTTAATAATGCATAAAAGAAATGAAGCACTTTGGTAAGTTCCAGTCGTCATGTTATAGGTTAATCATAGAACAGTAAGGGATATTTCATCAAACAACCCATTTTCAAAAGAGAACATGACCACATAGTCATTTTGAAGGAGATTTCTAATATTATTGAATGACATTTGTTGCTTTTCTCCTTTTGTGGTGGATTAACTAATGGTCAACTTATAACACCCAGATGAACTTAGTCAGCATGGTTCTGGGTGTAGAAGGCCCACCTGAGGATTGTTGCCAACAGCATAAAAGGAGAACTGGAGTAAAGATGGTGTGCTGTTGATTCTCCTGGAGAAGCTTGTCACACTGATATGAACTTGGCCTCCCCATCACTGGAGGAACTCAGGACCTCACTGTTGCTGAGGATGGCCGTGGTTCTTTTCGGGGGAGCTCTGGTCCTTACCTTGAGTGTTGTTTTCTGGCTCCAGTACAGAACCTTCATCCCGCTGGCACAGACTTCCTAGCCTGTACTGTTGCAGAAAACAGAATGGAAGACTTTGTGTGCTGAGGAGTTCAGAAAGCAACTTTTATTAACGCCCATGAGTTTTCAAATCATTGGCCCTGAGTCAGCTTTGTATGGAGTTTAAATATAGCTTGTAAGCAGGAAACACAAAGCTGGTAGCAGGTGAATACATGATTGGTTATGTACATTGAGCAAGGCAGATTTTAGCAAACTTAAAAGGAAATGTTTATCATTGTGTAAGAACATCTTGGGCACAAGGGGAGAGTGTTTGTGCAGGGCAAGCAAAGTTAAATGAGTCCTTGGACTGGGCCAGTCTTTCCCAAATGTGACGCCCTTAAAGCAAATTGGAATTAATGCATATTCTTTTCACTAAAGGAAACATAGTTACCTTGACCTGTCAGATTGTTAAAGAATAACACTGGGTTCAGACAGTCAAGGCTTAACTGAATTTAGCACACTAACTGCATGACAAAAAGCAGGAGCCTGTGGTCACAGCCCTCTAATTGATTTCTAACTTTTGCCATAATATGCCTACAAGCCTGCTATTCTAAAAGTGTGCCCTTATACCACCACTGACCTTTGGGTCTTCTCAGTGCAGATCCTTGATACAGACTTGCATGAGATGTTCTTGTGGGTTCTAGCCCTCCAGTTGGACTCGTGGAGAACATTACCATGGGATCCAGGTCTGTAGCTAGATTCTTTGGGTCTCTGGTCCATTGACATGCACTCCTCTGCATTTGACATTTTGGGTGAATATTATAAAATACTCCTATAAACTATGTGTCCTGCGCTAAATCAATTCCCTTGCAAACTCTAACTACAATGACTTTCTTCATCTTTTCTTTCTGCTAAAATACACTTCTAGTTATATTAATATTTTTTGATTACCAGGTAGAGTATGAGTCTTATTGTAGGGGCTATGGAGTTACTCTACAATGGTCCATCTGTAGTGATCTTAAACCTTTTGAGGATTAGCGATTGGTTTCCTGGTGGTTTCCATATGGCTTAAAGAATGAGGTACTTAGATCTCTTCTATGCTCGGTTCTCAGTAGGGTTTGTGTTCCTATGAGAATCTAATGCTGCTGCTGATCGGACAGGTGGTGAAGCTCAGGCAGTGTAGTGGATTGACAGTTGGTGGTCAATTTGTAAAACCCCGCTGAACTGAGTAAGTGTGCTGGGTTTGGGAGGCCCGCCTGAGCATTGTGGTCAACAGCATAAGAGGCAGAACTGGAGATGTTTAGAGGCTGTTGGTAGCTGAGAAGCTGTTGGGTGCTGTTAGAAGCTATAAGGAGCTCTTGGTTTTCTTGGAGGAGCTTGTCATGCTGGATTTCCTAATGAACTCAGCTGTTCTCATTGTCTGAGGAGCTCAGAACCTTATTACCATTGATAATGGCTTCAGTTCATTCTGGGGGAGCTCTGGTCCTCACCTTGAGCATTGCTTCCTGGCTCCAGAGGGAAAGATGGTTCACTGCTCAGTCTCCTGGAGAAGATTGTCATTTTGGCTTTCCTGATGGGAATTTAGCTTTCCTCATCATTGGAGGAGCTCGGGACCTCACTGTTGCTGAGGATGGCTGTGGTTCTTTTTTGGAAGTGTCCTAGTTCTTACTTTGAGCACTGCTTCTTGACTGCATCAAAGATCCCTCAGCCTGTTGGCACAGATCCTTTATGCTGCTGGCTTAGACTTTCTAGATTCCACCGCTTTGGACCTTCCCAGTGCAGATCTGTGAAACAGGCCTTCATGAGGCAGTGTCCTGGGCTCTAGGCCTCCAGTTGGACTCGTGGGAGGCATTGTTATGGGCTCTAGGTCTTCAGCTGGACTCATGCAGGATAATTGGATTCTCAGCTGGATTCCTTGGTCTTTAGTGTGTGGACAGATTTCCCGCACTCTGTTTGTATATGACTTGTTGGGTGACTATTATAAATAATCATAAAATATATATCTTGTATTTTATTGTTCCCCTTGCAAAACTCCAAACTATAACAGGCAGTAATGCAAAAAAACAGGGAGCAGCTGTAAATATGGAGGAAACTTTGCTCCTAAGCCATACACCTCTTGCTGTGCTACCCAGTTCCTGATGGGCCACAGACTAGTATTGGTCCATGGGAACAGGGTTTGGGATCCCTGAGTGCATGTCTTAGAAGGGGGAACAGCATGTGCAAAAGTAAGGGACAATGGGAAATGCATTACACTTGGGCAGTGTATGTAGGGGGTAATAGACCTAGTGAACATCTCCTTGGTATAACAGCTTATAAAGTACAATCCTCTATAAAATATTCTATTTAATGAGAAAAGTAGCTCAAAATATCTCCTGGTGTGTTCAACAAAGCAGAATCCTTAGAAAAATCTGGCTACTAGGGAGACTGGGTTTGAGTGGAACATAGTGACATAGATGATGACTGTTTTTCCCCTCTAAATTTTCAGATATTTTATTGACAAAGTGATATCTGAACTGACAAGCCATGAAAATGAAAAATAAAATTGTTCATCCAATAAAATAGGTTTCTAGTAGCATAAAATGCATGGCCATAAATGTATTGGTATACTAAAACCTGAAATTTATTAAAATGCTTTTCAACGTTTCTTTGAACCATTTTCTTAGCTTCAGCTAAAGGATTTGCTCTAGACAATATAGGGAAAAAAATCTTCACATATTTGGATTATAAAATTGGTTCAAGGGAAGCTGGGAGCTTAGTAGGTGGAGAAAAGGGAAATGGTAGAATGGATTGAAACTAGGTATTTTATCTGGGGTTTCAAAAAGAAAGGGTCAAGAACCAAATGAATATCATGTTTTCACCCCACTGATTAATGTAAGATGTATCTCGGGCTGATCTGGGGGATACTGATGGATAAGTGGGGCATGGCAGTAGTATTGTTATGCTTTTCGTTACTATTGGTATTATTGCAATGAGCTGTTAATTGTTTTGCAGTTTCTGGACTCTTTCCCCCATACTACACCCATTCTTCTCAAATACCAACGTTCTATATGTTACCCAGAGATCTTGGCAACATGCAGATTCTGATTCAGTCATCTTGGGTGGGGCCTGAGAGTGTATTTCTAACAAGCTGTGCAGTTAGATGTCAGTGTTGCTGGTCTTGAAATATACTTTGAGTAGCAGAGTCAAATATTGTTAGACCTCATTACCAACCCTTCCAGTCCTGCTACTTCCCTCCTCAAAAATCCCTCTATTTCTCTGAAATGTCCACCTTACCTTAAAGTAAAACAAAAACTTTATTTTGTGAGGGTCATCTTCCATAATATGGCTTCAAACTACCTTTCCAGTTACGTCTCTCATTAATTCTTGACTATGCATTGGCCAACCTGATGAAGTTTCTCGATCTTTCCTTTACCTGGAGTGTTACCAAACTGTCTTCACAGTCCACATCTTTTTAATTTTTCTTTCCTTTGCATGCTCAGCCCTAACCCTCATAGTTTGCCATTGTGCAGTTTATACTATTTATATCTTCCCTTTTGGAAGTTTAGGTTGTTAGCAAGTGAGTCTGTGTTACGTTTGAATAATTGTATCATTTGATTATGCATTATCTATTATCTAATATAGAACTTTTTCCTCAATCATTATACATCAATTGTGGCACTTCACTGTAAAAGACAAATAGTAGCAGTAGTTAGCATATTATTCAGATTTCTCACTTAATAATTGACAATTTTCTTTTCCTCATTTATAGTTACCGGGTATGAGTGTGTTTCAGTTAACATAGCTGTCTTAGCTGCTTCTAATTTATTGTCTTAAATTATTAGTGATGGATTCCAATGTATCTATAATTCTAAGCCATTCTGTGCCCTACAACTGACCACTGACCTCTTGTGCAGTAAAGTGCAATCAATCCCCCTTTCATTTATTTTTTGTTATTATATCTGTCGTGGATACTGAAAGTTGCTAGAAGTTAATCAGCTTTTAAAAAATATTTGATAATAAATGTTTGTAATGTATTGAATAATGATTATGACATTTTTACTTACAGAAAAAGAAACTTTGATTAAATTCCACGAATGTTAATTGGACGCCTACTACACACAAGTCACTGTGGGTGATATAAAAGTGAATAGCACAGAGTTCCTGCCAAACTGGAAATTTCATTCCGTGTAACCACTTGGAGCAGCTCACCAGAGCCTTTTCCTTTTTTATGTTTCCTTCATGTAAGGGTGAAAGTTAATGGTAACAGATGGAACTTTTCAATTTATTGAGCTTACAGTCTTGATAATCATCAAATGTGCTAATTCCATTTTACAGTATAAGTTGTTGCACTGCATCCAAGTCTTATTAAATAATGATTGACTCATTTTGCGCAGGTGGTAACACTGGAGAACAGGCCATAGTATTAACATGCAAATTGGGATGAAAGATCATATTTACATATGATCTTTATTCATTCATTCATTATTTTTCACATTAAAATTGTTTTAAACACCAACCAGTAGAAGTTCCTTAATCCTGTTTTTAGAATTTATTGATTTAGCCTCTGGACGTTAGATGATGAATAAAAACGAATGTTTATGAGTGATCCTATTATTTATACCATGTACAACTATAGATGTCTAGCAAATGGCTGAGACTGACCAAGCTAAAATTTCACTGTTGTTCTCATTAGTATGTGTGTGTAATACAGAATGATTATGTTCACCATGGTGAGCTGGTGTATGTACAAAACACGATAATTCATTTAGCTTCTCCTTCTCCATTTGTTGCTCTCCTTTCCACTTGCAAGAGACCCATGTCCTGGTATCTTATGATCTACCTTTTACTTTTCTCTTTAATTTATTCATACTTGTTTTTCATAGAAGAGCAACCATGCAATGTTGTGTGCATGATTCACTTCGCCTAACATGGTCTCCAGGTGCATCCATTTGTCTACATATGTCTGAAGTTTATCCTCCTACATGGCAATACTACTCCATTGAGTATAAATGTCACATTTTTTACCCATTCATTTGTTGATGGATATATGGACTGCTTCTAAGATTTAGCTATTGTGAATTGTGCTGCTACAGTATAGGTATAAACAGGTTTTAGGTATAACTATAATATGATATCTTTAACATTTTTAAGAAGACAAGCTGGAAAGGGAATAGTTAGGTTGGGTAGAATTCTTGTTTATAGCTTTTTTAGGAATCTCCATACTGATTTCCACAGTGATTCAATAGTTTACATTCCCACCAACAATGTACAAGGGTTCCTTGTTGTCCCATAGTCTTACCAGCATTTATTATTTGATTTCTTGATCATAGCCATTCTTTCTGGAGTAAGAGAGAGCCTCTGTGATGTTTTAATTTGCCTGTCTCTGATGGCCAGAGATGTTAAACAGTCTTTCATGCATTTATTGTCCATTTGCATTTCTTCTGAGCAGTTTCTGTTCATTTCAGTTGCCCATTTTTGATGAGTCTTTTATTTTGGGAGGTCCAACTTTTTGAGTTCTTTATATATTCTAGATATTAGTCCTCTGTGCAAAACAGATGACAAAGTTTTTATACCCATTCTGTCTCTTCATTCTGTTGGTTGTTTTCTTTGCTGTGCAGAAGCTTTTTAATTTGATACAAACCCAATTGTTGATTTATTGATGTTATTTCTTGTGCAATTGGGTCCTTTCAGAAAGTCTTCACTATGCTATGTCTTCTAGAGTTTTACCTGTTTTGTCTTCCAGCAAGTTAGATATTTCTGATCTTTGATTTTAATTTATCACATGGTGTAAGATATGGGTATAGACTAAATTTTCTGAATGTGGATTGCCAGTTTTCCCAAAACCATTTGCTAAAAGGCTGTTTTCCCTCCGGCATATGTGTTTGGCTCCTTTGTTAAAGATCAGGTGGCTGAATGTGTTTGGGGTTGTTTCTGCATCCTCTATTCAATTCCGTTGATCAGAATGTCTATTTTCACGTCGGTACCATGCTGTTTTTAATCACTGTAGCTTTGTTACATAACTTAAAATCCATGATTGTGATGTCTTCTGCTTGGCTCATGTTGCCTAGGATTGCTTTTGCTATTCTGGGTCTCTTTTTGTTCCATATGAATCTGAGGGTTATTTTCTCTAGTTCTGTGAAGAACGCTGTTGCTATTTTTATTGAGATTGTATAAACCCTTGCTCTCTTTTCATTTTTAAAGTATCTCTGATTATATCACCATGTGTTTGCATTTTGTTGTCAAGATCTGAGACTTTTTCCTTACATCAGTCATTCCTGCAGTTCCAGTATTCAATACAATTTTATCTCCAGGATTTCTCTTTGACACATTTTCATAGAGTCTATTTCTTTGGTAAATTTGTTATTCATGTTTTGAATAGTTTTCATCAGCTCTTCTCATTTGTTATTTGTTTATTTCATATCCACATTGATCAGTTTGCTTTTTAGCTCTGGTATCTTTTGGGTTATATCCTCTTTGGGCTTATTGAGTTTCTTTGCTTCCTCTTTAAATCTTTTCATGCAATTCAGCTCTTTGGTGTTTGACTTCCTCTCCACGGGTACCCCTTGGATCTACTTTGGGAGAGTTTGGAGTCTTTGGAGGCATTTTGTTGCCTTGTTTTTCATGCTCTCCCACCCCAGTGTGTGTGTGTTGAGGACTGTCTTCGTTTCTTTTTTCTCATTGCTGTTCCAAGGCTCTAAAAGTCAACTCTTGATTCCTGCATTTTCTCTATAATTTAATTACTCTGGTTAACACATGTAAATTGAATCATGTAATACCTTTTGTGACTAGAGCATTTTAACGCTATTTATTTTTAATATTGAAAAACTAGAAACAAGCTAATGAACAATAGAGAAATAGTTACATAAATTATAATATTTCTGTATTTGTTTTATGTGGTGGTACTGTGGATTGAATCCTTACATATGCTAGGTAAGCACTTTAACACGGAACTGTGTTCCCAGTCCTTTTAAGTTATTTTATTTTTTAAATTTTGACCAGGTCTTACTAAGTTGCCCAGGCTGGCCTTGAACTTGTAATACTCCTACCTCAGCTTCCCCAGCAGCTGGCATTACAGGTGTGTACTCATCTCTGTCATCTCTGTCTTTGTCCACTGTGCTCTCATCTCTGTCCTTTTGATAACACATCATTACTTGCTTTGTAGATAAATGTACAGGTACTGACTAGGGAAGAAGTAATAATGATTTAGATAAAGAATATAGCCTTGGGTGCATGAGGTAAATACTGGCCAGATTCTGAGTGTATTCTGAAGGTCGTGCCAGTTGTATGTGCAAGTGGACTGGATAAAGGCTTTGAGTGAAAGGTGACAGTAACTAGTGTTTGTAGCCAGTGGAAAGGAAGAGTGAAGATAGCATTTCCTGGGGTTGGAAGGATGGTGAGAGGAAAAGGTTGAGATATTCTTTTCTTATATGATCAAGAGCTGATTTTTCTTAAAACATACCAAGACAATGAACAAATATTATTCTAATAAGTAATAGAAAAGTGAACAAAGGGTTGAATAAGTATGAACAAGATAAATTCTTATGGAGTAAAATGGATAAATACTTCATGCAGTAGAAATCATACAAATTCCTGTTTAAGTGATGAGACACTGGTTTTTACCCACCAAAATGCCAAGATTTACAAAGCAGTAGAATTAAAATTTGTGTAGAAGCATTGGTCAAAGGAACATAAACTGGTCTAATATTTTAGATTATCAATATGGCAATATATTTAAAAACTCATAAAATAGAAATGTTGCTTTACTTAGCAGCATATAAATTTTTGGAAAATTTCCCTAGAAAGTTAAGAATGTTCACAAAATGTACACGGTGTTACTTACAAAGGGAAGTACCTATATGCCTAACAACTGGGGAGATTTTAAAATCGTGAATACATCTACATAGAAAACCATGTGTTGACATTATATTTCCTGACATGGGGAAATGTCACACATACAGGATGTATATTGCACTTGATCTTAGCCAAAAGGCTGAGAAGCAATTGAAGTGATCAGCTGATAAAACAAGTCATATACTAATGACAGTTTTATAAAGGAGACCAAGGAGAAATTTCAAACTCCTGGCACTAGCAACCATGGCTTAAAATACCTTTGCAAGCCTTTAGATGTGTTCATACCCTGTCAGCTTTGATATGAGAGGTTAACTAGAGCTAATTGCATGAATTACTGCATTGTGCACTTGTGTGTCTGTTATATTGGGTAACATGATGTCAGGATGACGAGAAAACTCAGTGTGACCTCCACCTTGTGTGTTACTGATAAGGTTAAAAAACACCCCTAACTCCATAACTAGATCTTTTGGGAAGCCAAATATTTACAATTAAAGTTAACAATCACCAAACTACTGATAATTTCACAGTTCTTACCTTTGGTATCCAGTAAACATTTTTCAAACAGTTTTACTTCTCTTATGGCTCCGAGTGTGTACTGCTTTTTTCCTTTCCAGCACTGCATTTAAAATTCTGTCATTAATGAAATCAGTGTGGGCAAGGGACATCTGCACCCCCACGTGTGCTGTAGCAGTTCATTGCTTATTCCCTATAGCCATGAAGGGAATCATCCTTTCACACCATCAATGGATGAATAGTGAAAAAGAAATGTAGGATCTCTACACAATGGAATATTATTCAACCATAAAGAAGAACAAAATCCTGCCATTTGCACCAACATGGGTGAACCTAGGGAACATCATGCTAAGTAAAACAAGCCAGGCACAGAACAACAAATTCCTACGTGGTCTGATTCCTATGCGGAATCTAAAACCACTGATGCTGGTATTAGGTAGCAGAATGTCGGTTACTAAACATGGGAGGAAATGGTGGAGGAGGAGGGCGGGGTAATAGTTGATCAACAGACACAAAGTTATAGTTCAACAAGGGAAATAAATTCTGACGTTCTATCATATAGCAGTGTAACTATACTTAACATCGTTAGATTATATAGTACAAAAGCCAGAAAAGAAGATTTTGAAAGCTCTCGCCACAAAGAAATGATCAATATTTGAGGGGATGAATATGCTAATTACCCTGATTTGATCAGTGCAGAGTATACCTTGTCCTATAAATACATACAATTATTATGTATCACTTACAAAGTAAATAGAACTTGGAAAAATGCTATCACAAAATTTTTAACAATCCACAGTAACTGTTCTCTATTCCAGAAGTAGGTGAAGTGTTTTAAGAAGGAAAATACCTGTGACTGTAATTATAAGAATGGTTGGTGGTTTGCCCTGCCTTAGGGAGGAAAGGAAAATATCAGGAAATCTGAAGAGCGGGGTCCTCCTGCTTCCTGAAGTGGAGTGGAGCGGGGCAGAGGGCAGCCCCAGCTGCGCAGGAAGCTTCTTGTTTTAGTGGTTTGGCTGTCAGGTTGTGTGTAAGAAGCCAAGAACCTTCCACCCACTGTTTTCATGCTTCTGGCAGCCACTGCAGTCACCAAAGGGCAGGAGAGGGGCTCGTTCTAGAGGCAGAAGACATTTTAAAGTGTGTTTAGTTGCTCAGATCCGGATGGCATTTTCTACAGGGGAAGTACACTGACTGAGCAGGTTGTATTTGTGCCACAAGATGCCACCCTTCCCTTGAAAAGGCGACTAAAATTACCAAAACACAGTGCGAGTGTTTTATGAATCTATCTTCTCCCATTGATTATAGCAAGATAGTTTTGTCTTGGATGAAGGAAGAGTAGTTGTATTTTTATTCTATAACATTTTCAGGTGCCAGGAAAGAAACCATCCCCTGGTTCATAATTTCCAAAGCTCTGTCAAACTACTATGGAAATATTACTTTCCCATTTTATCTGACAATGGATTACGATTCTGTGTGCAAGCTTTTTTACTTTGGGTTCTTAGTGATAGCCTAGCTTTTGGTATATAGTTAAGCTATTACGAAAGGCTACAAGATAACACTGTCACCATCCACCCATTTTAAGCTTCCATTTTTTCCAAGAGAGGTGTTTAGATTGTTTAGATTTCTTAGCTTCCAGCTTTTCCAGCTGATCTTTCGTGGAGGTAAAAAAATAAAAAAAAATCGATAGGGGATTTGTTTTTGCTCATTTGTTTGATAGGTTACATCCAAATTATTTTTTTAAATTAAAAAAATTAAAAACCACACTTCAGTATACATCCGTAAACACCGTCACCTGAGAGCCAAGTGGTAGGCTAGCTAAGCAAAGAGTTACTGACTTGTAAAATGGAAATCAGTGTAGTTTATAATCAAATATTCTTTCTATTTTCAATTGCAATCAATATGTATTTACTCACTATAATCCTTGAATTCATCTTTAAATATTGCTAAAATGACATGTTAAAAATTACCGAAGTACCCTTGTCTTTTGCCTTTTACCTACCCTGAATCCTCTAGTCCTGCTACATCAGTCTGCTCTGTTGCTGGCTGGTCTTCAATCACCTTTCTGCACGGGTAAGAAAAATGAAAATTGAAAAATTTTCAATTATTTCTTCTAAAGGGAAGCCATGAAGTTAGATGTGACTTTGAACAACTTATTTAACCTGTCAGTACCTCCATCTAATTTGTGAAATGAGGTACTTTATTGCCTGCCTTCCAAGTCGTCTGCTATATTTCAAGACAGTTTTTACGATGATTTCTTCCCATTAAAGATTCTGATGAGCAATGAAGGGTGTGGTTAAGGAAGAAAATATTTGAAATTTGAAGAGATGCCAATATTTATATTAAATTCTAATGTTGCTCTGATAATCCCATTTCTGCAAACTGTTCTGCCTCCTGTAGCAATGTCATGAAGTATAGCTACCAAGAGCTTGTTTTCATACAGATGCACTGATTTTTAAGGCTGACATGACAGAAACATTCATTTTTTATCTTTATGTTCTCCATTTAAGCTGTGTCCAAAAAGTCTAAGCACCTGTTACTTATCATCTGAGGAAAACAGTTCAAATTTTTATTTCTTCATAAAATCTCTATAGTCATTTCTTCACAAAATGCCATATGTGTAGGACAAAACCATTTATTCTACGCTAGTCATGTCTAGACATGCTAAGCTTCAAAGTCTCAGTCAAAGGTATTCCTGGGTGAGCTGGTCTTGGTGTGAAACATCACTAGATATGGAGAATTCCATAATGATTGTGACAAACAAGGTTCAACTTATCCTTTGTTGGTACAAAATAAAAAGATAGGGCACAAGAGTTTAAATATTTTTTTCTTCTTAAACACTACACTGTTTTTCCAGTTCTCTATTAGACATTTTTCCTCAAAGACCAGTTAAGTTTGAATTTCAGATAAAAAATAAAATTTTGGCAGGATATAAGTATGTCTCAATTATTACACACAGATAATTGTAAATTCATACTAAATTATATTAGATATATAGTAGTAAATTTTAGATATATAGTAGTGAAATTTATGTGTATGGGTATGGTATAATTTTTGAAGAAATGCAACCCTAATGAGCCCCCAAGGATAATGTAGGATGCTAAGACAGCTACTGTGCTATACACATCTTCACAAAAACAGCAATAAATCCCCAATGCCTCGAATAATGTCCTATTTATAAGTAAATATTTATATTTATAAGTAAATATTACCTAGTGATTTGATTCATGTCCAAGTGTATCCATATATGTACATGTTCTTTTAGAGTTTAAGAATTATACATCTTGTCTTATGTTCAGTATGTGTACTATTTCTATCCCTATATCTTAAAAACTTCTATACAACTTTATGTTTTTAACAAATTACTTAACATCTCCCTGTTACTAAAACTTAGATATCTTTCATGATGTTAGGGTAACCTCCTGCTGTATATAGTACTTGGTTTTGTTACACTGTCTTTCTAGAATAAATTTCTTAGAGTGAGAAGAGTGAATTGTCTGGAATTGAGCAATCAAATTATATCTGCCTAATCACTTTCAGATTTCCCTTCTTGTTCATTTTATAATGAATGAAAATGATTCTAGAATAATGCATGTGGATGCAATTGTATGTATTACTAGTTCTGGAAGTGGACAATCGCTTTATAAGAATATTTTAACTTTCTGAGAGGAAGCTATTATTTTTCACCACTGATAGTAAAATAACAGACATGGAAATGGGTTTTTTAAAATTCAGCTGAACATGAAATATTTTAGGAACCTATAACTTCTTCCAGTCATGCCTTTCCTCGCAGTGTGCACCCAGCTTCTCTGATCACCATGAGCTGCTTCTTTGATGCATGGGACTGATGTGATTGCTTCTGAAACGTGTTTTCAGTGGCTACATTATCCGAGGAAGCTGCAGTACGTATCTGCTCATAAACTTTCCATTTGCTTCTTCAATATGTTGGAGATAGGAAATAAATTTGGAAAAATTTGCCCAGATGATAAATGCACCACCCAGACCCAACTGATTACTAGTTTTATCCAGAGAGGCAAAGGAAACACTTAACAAACCAGGCAGAACTATTTTCTGTTAAGGCAGAAAAAGAAAAAGAGGGGTTAGGGAAAGGAAGTATAAAGTGATGGGCCTAGGAGGTATGCTTGTAATTTATTCTCTTTATTTGCCGCTGAATATCAATTAAGCAATTTCAAGCCAAACTTTATATATATAAGAATCCAGACTGAATTTTTCTCTAGTTGTTTTAGCTGGTTAACCTCAGCTTTATCTGTCAGAATTAAGCCACTGTTGTGAAATATATTACTCTTTTGAGTGCCCTAGGCAAGCTCGTAGGCTGATAGTACATGGTTTGGTTTAGCAAACATTTGCTGTAAGAAATTAAACTTACAAAAACATCAAATATACTATACAGAGATAAGATAGAGAAGAAAATTCTGGTTACCACGGTTGGGATGATGGAGAGGAAATGGGGAGATGCCAGTCAAAAGATATAAAGTGGAACAATATGTAGGATGAACAAGTCAAAAGATCTCACATGAGCATGAGGACTATAGTCAATAATATTGTACTGTATTTGGGATTTTTGCTAGATGAGTAGATTATAGTTGAATAGATTATAGGGAGGAAACATAGATAATTATGTGTGCTAGTCAGCTTTCTGTTGCTATAACTAATTCCCAGGATAAAGAATTTGTAAAGAAAAGCTTTACTTTGGCTCACAGTTTTGGAGGTTTCAGTTCATGATCAGTTGGCCCTGTTACTTTGGTCTATGATAGCATGTAACGGTGGAGCATGGCAGAGTAGAATCACTCATCTTATGGTCAAGAAGTGAAGGAGAGGAGTAGGAGAGGCCAGAGTCCTATTATCACTTTCATGGGGCACAACCTCAATGACCTGATGACCTGCCATGGGGCCCCACCTCTTAGAGGCTCCAGGGCCTCCCATCCTGGGGAACAAGCCTTCGACACATGGGTCTTTGTCGTTAAGTTCCAAATGATAGCACATTATGAGGCAATAGATATATTGATATATATGTTATATATATGTTGATATATATATGTTATACATGTTATATATATTCTATATCATTGTTCTATGCCTTAAGTACATACAATAAAATTTATTTAAAAAATTAAGCTTTTATGGCAACTATGAATTTAAGTCAACTGTGAAACAATATTTCAAAAGGAGAACTAATGATGGGTCTCCAGTTCCACAAAAGCCCTGCTATGCACTAAACCACCTTCTTTGGTGTCTCTGCTTGGGAAAGTTCTCCTGCGTTCTCTGCCAACCTCTATTTGGGTATTCTATCAACATTTACCAAATTGTTTTCACCAGGCCAGAAGTTCATCAGTATGTTAAGAACTGAATTCCAAATGTGACATCAAATATGAGGTGTGATAAAAAATATATGGTGAACGCCGCTGCATGCCAGGTGCCATCCGACAGAAAGGCAGGGACTTCACTATGAGAAGTGGATCAGATTTTAGTAACAGCAAATGACAAGTTTCCAGTCACTCAATGCAACGATATGACTTTTTGTTGCAAACTGCAAAAAAGTGCTACAGAAACATAGCATGTTAAAAATTGTAGTAGGTGCTGCAGTGAACATGGACACAGTTTATAAGTGGTTAGAGTGATTTTCTAATAGTTGTGAATTGGTTGAAGATGAGCAATCAAGATGTCCTTAAACACCAAAAACCCAAGACAATGTTGAAAATGTAAGTGAAATGATTCAGTCAAGCAGGCAATTGACTTCTTTTGTTTTTTTTTTTTTTGGTCTTTTTGAGACAGGCTCTCACTATGCAATTCATGCTAGTTTTGAACTCACTTTGTAGCCCAGGTTGGTCTCGAACTCGCAACTATCCTCCTGAGTGCTGGTACTGTAGGTGTGCACCACCAATTGACTATTAAGAGGATTTCCGAGGATCTGAGCATTTCTTGTGGTTTCGTTCAAAGCAGTTTAACAACAGATTTGAACACAGGTGAGTATGAAGGTTCACAGTTCTCAGTGGAAATCTCCCAGTTCTCCTTGTGTGAAAAAAGCCCATCCATCAAGATTCAACAAGAAAGTGATGTAGACTGTGTTTTTTGACCTTGATGGGTTTCGTGTGAGCCAAATTTATACACAGGAACACTACAGTGAACTCTAAATGATGTAAAGGCTCATTAGAGTGTTTAAGAAAGATATGAATAGGAAACACCCTCAGAGATGAGCAAATGGTTTTCTCTTGCTCTGTGTCACACTTTCATTCTATAAGTGCAACTGTTGTAAAAAAAAAAAAAAAACAAAACAAAACATTATGGTGTATCCTCGACCACCATATTCACTGGATCTGTCACTGTGAAACTTCTAGCTCGTCTCCAAAGTCAAAGTGACTATGATAGGCGGACATTTTGAGTTGACTCAGGACATTGAGGCAGCCATGACGGCGCAACTACAGATGTGAAAGAGGACTTCCAGGACTGCTTCAGAAAGTGACAAGAATACTGGGTATGTTCAAAGTGAGGGGGGATGTTTCCAGAGAGATTAATGGCAATGTGTCTTTTACTGTAATAATTTTTAAACATGTTAGCCCTCACCATATTTTTTATCATGCCTCATAAACTTTTTTCTTGATTTATCCTCCTCGTTTTCCAGATTCATAATATACATTATTCCTGAACCAAAACCTCACATAATATACATTAGTGCCTCAAAGACTCTGAGAAATTGTGCCTTAGAAAAAAATTTTAAATTTCATTTAACTTTTAATTTCTCAAATTTATAACAGAAGTCATTTTTACATAACTGAAATAACATTTTAAGAATCCCCATGCTCTAAAGAACAATTTATGCAAAACTCTGAGTTAAACATATATGTCAACGATAATCCCAGAGAAATAAACATATTTTGAGACATATTGGAGACATATTTTAAGGCTAATTTTTAAGGTGTTTATAAGTTCTCCTAACTTCTTCTACCCATCCCAAATTTCTCTACACCTGCTGAGCCAATTGGGGTGACTAATCTATAATTTTTTTTTTAGAGATCCGAGTCTCTGAGCAGGAAAATAAATGATAAGGGTAAAGGTTACCCAGGTTTGATATTCATTTATTTTTCTAATTAAATTCTATGGCTTTAGAATACAGAGGAGGGTAGGAAGTGCGCTGGCTGTATAGTTTATAGAGTTTAGCAGAGTTGGATTTTATCTACCGAATCATGACTTCTGAACAAAAGGAGAAGCCAAAACAAAACAGAACAAGACAGCAACAACAAAACTGGACAAGCTGTATCTTCTGGCTCTGAGAGACGATGTGGTTAGGAGAAATGTTTAAATGACTGTGAAACCTCCAAATGGAATTGCCTGGTGGGGCAGGCAGGTGACTGGCTAAGAGAACGGCTAGAAGATGCAGCTCTGCGGAGGTGGTGGTGAATTATTTTCAAGCAAAATGATTTGGAAATAATATGCATCAATTCAGATGCCTAACTGCTAATATTCAGATGGTGGAGCAACAAAGGACATTTTAGGTTTTCTAACAGTGAATATATTTGTTATTCAATTAAGTGAATAAGCATCAGTTACCTGTGATGCATTACAGTAAGAAGGAAATTTGGAATATGAAAGAAAAGTCACAGTTTCAAGGAAGGAATACTATAAATGTTTTAATAACAAGATAAAGTGAATATAGGCAAACAGTTCATATGTGGCAGGATAGTATCATTTTTTAGCAGTAGAGTAATGAGGCTGGAATTTTATTTGGGAATATTAATCCATCCGTGGTAACCAGAATGAGTTAAGCAACAGGGAGTGGGGACGTAAGAATGAACAGAAACCTTGCTTTGCAGAATGTGCAAATGATAAATTTTAGGAATTAACTTCGGCACTCAGCAAATTCTCTGCAAAGGGCAAGATGGTTACTATTTTTTGCTTTGTATGTGATTTGATCTCTGTAGCATGCAAGTAGCTATAGATTATAGGTAAAAGGGTGTAGCTGTTATTTTCAAGGAAAATTTTATTTACATATACAGATGCAGGCCTGATTTAGTAAATGAATTATAGCTGACCAATACCTAAATTGAATAAATGCAATTTCATTGCAACTGTTATTTCAGGTCAAATTAAATTATATGTATAAGTTCTTTTATGTTTGAGCTATTTCTTTCAATGGAGTATCTTTATAAGTACAAAAAGCTTGTTGGGATTTTGACTGAAAATGTACTGATTTTTAGATCAGTTGAATATTGACAATGAATAGTGAGTCTTCCAGTTTATAAAATGGGGTTTATATAGGTCTTCATTAAATTATTTCAGGGAGGTTTTCTTTCATTAGATTTATTCTCATGTATTTTATGAAGTTATAAATATAAGTTTAATAGAAATTTGATTTATTTTTAGGATGGCTTTACACCCATCAACTTTTCTTAATTCCTTTATTGGTTGCAGTTGTGGATTCATGTCAATCTTCTATATTCATAGTCATGAGATATGAAGGGGTTTTGCCTTTGTAACTTTTAATTCTATAAGTTACTTTATTTTACTAGCTAGGCCTCCTGCATACAGTTAGAAAGAAGTGGTGATAAGAGATATCCCTTTCCTCTCTTCAAATCAAAGGAAAACATACACTGTTTCTCCACCAAAAGTAATATTAGCTGCAGGAATATCAATACTTAGAAAAATTTTCAGATATCTGAATATAGGCAACTTTGAGATTTCATCATATGAACAGGACTAAATTTTACTCCAAAGACTGATGTAGCTGTTTCTTTTGTTGTCTATTTGAAATAATTTATTCTTTGATTGCTAATAAGAAAATGCAGAACATGGACAGTAAAAAATATTTTATGCTGTTTTGACCACATATGGAATAATTAGCATTAAGTGCTACATCTTATGATCACTAGTAGAGTGACTGCATAGGAAGAGGGAATTGGGATACTAAGGGGTTTACAAAGCATCTCCGATGAGGATTAACTGAAAGAAGGAGGTAGGATCAACGTCCAGTTTGTTGGGTGGAAAACAGTGAACTTGATGCCCTACTATGGTAAAAATAACATGCAGAGGAGTAAGTCACAACAAAGTAAGTTAGACTCACTATAAGGAACTCTGTTAAAATAGTTGGAACTTTCTAAGAGTGGAAGTCATGTTGTCTCTACAGCAGAGTAGCTTGTAATGTTTCTGTACAGTCCAGGTGGTGCTGATGGGATTCCTGACCCTGGGAAGGAGTTGTGTTGCATGATTCCTTTATTTCATTTTTTTTATTTTAAAAATAAAAGGAGGAAAACATTAACAGACAACCTTTTACAAAATAGCAAAAGAACAGTAGACACAATACAGAGTTACAAACAAAGTGGTAGGAAATTAACAATGCTTGTTGTATTACATATTGATATCTTCAATGTGGTTTCTCATGAAAACAGATAGAGACATGCAATATTGATCAACCAAAGACTCATTGACAGTTTCTTTCAGCAAAGAAATAGAATACAGTACAGCAACCATGTTAACTGTCCTGTATATACATACATACAAAATTTCTCCTTCTTTCCCTTCTCTTTTCCCACATCCCAATTGCCCTTTACCCTTTCTGCATGATTCCTTTATTAAGAAGGAAGTCATACTAGCTCATTCCTGGAAGCTATTTTCCTATTAAAACTGTGATTTTTATAGAAATATGTTATGGAAAATTCATTCTGATTATTCTTGCATTGGAAAGATATGTTTGAAATTTGAATTGCAGAAATGTTCAAAACGTGGTCAATTTTCCATGGAATAGTTGACATTTGATCTGTAAGACCCAGCAAGATTCTGGGGAAATGTGTACACATAAGAAAGTGATAACTCATTAAATGAAAAAATAAAAGCCATTATCATGGCTTAGAAAAAAAGAAAAGAAGCTTAATTTTGCTTCAGTCATGTGCTATTCTCCGGTTGACTCCAAGGTGGTAGTATTTCTAAGAGGCTGCCATCATTCCATGGTACCATGATGGCTAAAAGAGGCAAAAGTGCTCAATTGAAATCTCTGACACTGACTAGACTGCTGCCACATGAACTCCAGAAGCAGCAATTTCCTCATCTGTGAGAAGGAAGTAGACAGTGGTTACCTAAAACATTGTTGAAGGATTTAATGGGGAAAAGCCTTATAAAGTGCTTAGCCTGTTTCTGGGTCATAGATTGGCTCAGGAAACTGCTGCTTCCCTTGTGAACTAGATTGTCCAATAGAAATGAAAATTCTTCAGGGTAGTTATAGTAATTACTGCTCCAGGCATGTAGGGCTTAACCTCACAAAATTTGAGACAGTCCAGAGGAATAATAAAGGATTATAGAGCCATCTAATGGTCTTTTTAGGGTTTGAGTGTTACGAAACGCTACCCCACAGTCCTCAGATGACAGCTCAGATGGGCATCTTTTTCTCTGTCCCTGTCCTCCTCACCTCTGCTGAACTAGGGCTGCCAAGCTGATAACTTTCAAGCAACTCTCCAGCTGTGCGAAGAGGCAGGGACTGTCACCGGGAGTGAACGGCACACTGAAATTGAACGTGAGAAAATCATAGCTGTAAATACCTCCTAAATCATTAGCAGGATAACTCATGCACCATACAGTTATAACACACGCATGCACGCACACACGCACACATGTACACACGCACGGATCCACACACACACACACACGCACAAACATACTGATTTAAACCAATCTATCTGAACAGAAGATTAAAAAAAAAAGGGGGGGAAATACCTGTTTTAAGTGTGTTGATACTTTCTGTCCTTACACATTCTCACATGAAGGGAAGCAGCTCGTGGGTTATAAGTGGTGCCTGGTATTAATGTGGGAAGGATTTGGGCTGTTTCTGTATTTCCTCACCCACTGTAACGCACTTCGGAGTGACATTGCCTAAGAGAAACTAGCTGAATAAGTAGAACAAGCAGCTGCCCCTGGCTTCCTCACAGCCGCTGGGTTGCTCAGGTCAGCAGCCTTGCTGTGAGGGGTGGACGTTATCATGGCTAAGCCAGCCCTTCCTTCTCCCCCAGCGTCCTTGCTTTTTGAGGGCGAGTTTACTTACCAGAGATTTGCTGTATTTTAAGAAATTCAGAAAGAAACACGACAGAAAACCTGCTCCACTGTGAAGCAAAACTCCTTCTCCACCTTTGCAACTGGCAGCTAGGGAGAAATGTTTTGCTTTTAAGTCAAATGCTAAGACGGTTCCCTGTGTTAGAAAATTCTGTTTCGGACTTGTGTCCTGAAAATCAGTCTAAATGGGTCAGAGAAACTGACCTTGAACACACCCTCCCCTTGTTAATTGTGAGTCCAGGTTTGCCCCGTGCAGTGATGCCCTTGGCAGAGATGTCCTCCACGGGGCTGTTTGTTCCTCTGTTACAGCATTTTGCTGGCTTTACAGACTTAGGAATGTTTCAGCTCAGTTTCATTAATGTATGGGGAAACTGACAATTGTTTAAAATTCTGTCATGTT